GGCAAGCTGACCTGGGTTTCTTAAAGGAAAGGCTGATTGAGATCTGAGTATAAACTGTGTAAGAACCTGGGGCAATCTTATGTTAGAAAGCCAAAACTATCAAGAACTTCTGGGGTCTTGGTAAGACAGACACAGGAGCAAAATGGAAAGAAGGGGCATTTATTGACCAAAGATGGCATAATTTGAGCATCAACACGAATAATGACTATAATGAATTGAAGCAAGTCAAGTATATTAAAATCAATTAGTTCTGAATGCTACTTAAAAGTGGTTAGCTTTACAGTTCCTTATGCCTCATATCATTATCTGGAAAATTAGTGGAAAAATGTAAATTTATTCTGTCTTTTGTGTTAAAACAGTATTTCACGTTTATCAGAGGTGAAGAAAGTTCTTCTCATAGAGTATTTCCAACCAAGTACAGAAAAAAAATCATACAATTAGAAGAAATAAAAATTTGTATCTCCTAATGAAATAATGAATTGAGGCAACAATGATGAAGGATTTTTAAATTCATGCTATGATTAGGGAGGAACTTCAGAATAGACAAACCAGACTCATTATACCTGAACTTCTGATCAATGTTGACATCACTGGAAGTTGGACAACCAGAGACATTATGCGACATGTGTCATGTGTCACATGACATGATGTGACATGTGTCACAGTCCCATGTGTGTTCAGTATCTTCTAGAAGTACTCAATGCTAAAAAAGTAAATTTGTATCTAATCGAACCACCGGAACTAACTATACTTTAAGCAACAAGAGGTTGCAGTCAGCATGTGGGAAATTCTACAGGACGAATGACCCAAATTCTTTAGCAAATAAGTATCAACTTAAAAAGTGCATGGGTGCAAATTTTATAATTTAATAGAGGCTTGAGACATATTAACCAATTTTAATTTGTGGGCACTGTTTCATCTTGATTAATACAGTACAAAAAGCAATTCTTAGACGATCAGAGAAAAGTGAATATAAACTGGGTGTTAGCTGACATTCAAAAATTATTGTTAATTTTGGTAGTTGTAATAATTGTATTTAAAAACACAATAATTGGAGAGCACATGTACCTATAGCAAAAAATCTCTTTCAAAAAAAAAAAAAGAAAAAACACAATAGTTCTTTTTTCTTTGAAGTACATACTAAAATAGTTACTGATGAAATGATATTTTGAATTTGCTTTAAAATATTCCAGGAAAATAAAAACGCATGCATGGATAAAACCAAAATGATAAAATATTGATAAATGTTGAAGCTAGATATTAGTTATGGAATGTCATTACTCTATTCTCTGCTTTTGTATTTGGTTAAAAGTGATCATTTTTAAAATTAAAAGCTAATTTTGATTTTTAAAAAGTCTTAATATGAAATGTAGCAAAAATACAAGAGACTCTGAACCACTTAAGAAAAAAAATTGAAATACATTTCTGCATACTCACAACCCATAGTAAAATGTGGAACATAACCAGTTCTGTAAGTCTCATTTGGTATTTCCCTAGATATCTCACACTTCTTTCCCCCCAGAGATTACTATCTGAATTGTGTATGATTATCCTTTTGCTTTCCTTCATAATTTTTTAAAGTTTTTTTTTAAATGATTCATGTTTCTATTATACAACATATCTTTTTTAATTTTTTCTATTTTTGAACTTTATATAAATGGAATCATACTTTATATTGGGTGGTTGGAAAAGTCATGATGCATTTTTCTGTTTTTCTCAGTAAATATTCCTGTACATTTCTCCTGGTGCACATATGGAAGAATTTCTTTACCTGTTACTGTGCTGCAGGATACATGCAAGTGTATGCAATTTCATGACACTAAACTATTTTCTAAGGTATTGGTTTCTTCCAGAAAGCAATGTGTTTAATATTTCTCCCTTTTTTCTTCACTTTTAATATTTTCAGAGTTCTTAATTTTTGCCAATACAGTGAGTGCAAAATGTTATGTTACAATTATTTCATTTCCATTTTCCTTATGACTAATGAATGCTCTAGCACCTTTTCATATCACATTTTCTAGACATTTATGCTCCTCCTCTGTGACGTACTTTTTAATTCTTTTGTTCATATTCTTTTTTTGAAGACTTATTTTATTTAACTTTATTTGTTTATTTATTTTAATTTGACCAGAGAGAGACAGAGAAAGAGAGAGAAAGTGTGAAAGCAAACCACCAGATCCCAACCTTGAACCACAGTTGGCCATGTCAGAGTCCAGTGCCCTTAACCACCGCGCCCCCTGCTGGTCTCTTTTTGTACATGTTGTACCAAGTTGTTTCCCTTTTTGATTCCATGAAGTTATTTATATATTCTGTATATTAAACTGTTGTAGAAATATGTATTACAAGTAACTCTTCTGTGGGTTGTTTTTTCACTCTCTCTATAGAATCCTTTGTTGAACCAACATTCTCAATACTCATATAGTCAAATTTATCAACCATGGACTCTTATTAAATTAAACCTTCCCTACATCATGATCAACAAGATATTCTTCTATATTATGTTCTAATAGCTTTATAGTTTTTTTTTCACATCTAAGTCTTTAATTCACTTAAATTCTCCTCCCACCCTTGGTATATGTGAGGCAGGGCTGCAATTTCATTCTTCCATATGGATAACCAATTGATCAGAATATTTAATGAAGAGTTCCTTCTTTCTCCACCACTCTGCAGTAACGACTCAGTTATAAATCAAGATCTATGTAAGTATGGGTCTGCTTTCCGGCTCTCTGAAATAGGCTGAATTTTCATCATCCAGAAAACAAAGCAAAACAAAACAAAAACTTGAAGTAGAACAATCTAAGTCTGGTCATTTCTCTCCTCAAACTAAGAACCTCTGAGGGTTCTAAGGTTGAGAACACTCAACTTATTTCTCTTCCTTCAGTCATTCCTCCAAACCATCATTCTCAGTTTTCCTAGGTTCCTAAAACATACCTTAGTTTATCTGAGTTCTCTATTTAAAAACATCAAGGGGTACCATGTTGAAACATTATGAGAAACTTGACAAGTTTCTCTAGCTTGTGAGTGAACCGCTTCAACTTTCAGGTTGGCAGTTGTTCTCAACTGCCCATGACACAGTAGATGCTCAGTAGATACTGGTTTCCTTATACAACTTCATATAGGTGAGTAAATAAGGACAGAGTTTGCCATCCCGGCATATCCAAAATGTTGCACAAATGGTATTTATTTAGTTTTTGTCAAACATATAAACCTAGAAATTTCTCTAAATCCTGTGAAGGTTATAAGGGTTTCAGGTCACTACTTTATCATGATTTTAAAGTATCTTACTAAACCTGTTTTAAAATGTAACTTTATAAAAAGTAACTGCTTAACAAAATCATGCCTTCCAGTTCAGTTTGATTTACTTAATGCTGTTAAGACTGAGGAAAAAAAATAACAAAACAAAGTGTATTTATTAACAGATTTCTTTATTCCATTTCATTAGCTGTGTAACACCACCAGTTTTGGGTGCTTTCTTGCACATCCTATTTGTGCATTTTGGTATTACGTCTCTTCTTGAGTTGGAATGTAAAAGTCTTCAGCAGGCAGCTTTCGGGACCAATTAACTCCATTAAATTATACCCAGTTACGTAGTGAACAGTTCACTGTTCGTCTGGGGCTCTCTAGAGCTGTGACAGTGACGAGATGGAGAGAAGCAGAGAGAGAGACTGATTTTATATGTCACTGAAAACACACCGCAACAATATGCTAGTGTGACTTTCAAAATGGCCTTAAAATATTCCAAACTCAGGGAGTTTCCTTTCTCCTGAGTGGGAGTTGACAGACTGTCTGGCAGCATTAGAAAGAGGCAGAGAAAAGCTGATGTCTATATTGTGTCCTCTAATAACATTCTGCCTCTTTGCAGCATCTCCCCTTAGAAAGGTTCTTCTGTGTGTTGCGGGGGAGGGGTGTGTGTGTGTGCGCGCGCGTGAGCTTTGCCTCCTTTCTTGTGCAGGGAGCATGATTTCACCTCTCACATCTGAGAAAACCGAACTGAAGGACACTAACCCTCCCAAGGTCACCCAGAAAATTAGTGTTGAGGCCTGGAGCGGGGGTGGGAGAAACAAAACCCAGGTGTCCCGACTCCAGCTTTCGGGTTGGACACTAACTCATTTTCTTTCCCTTATGGAAAAATAAAAAAAAAATAAATTCTCTGGTCAGGGGGAGGGGGAAGCAAGTAATTTATCAGATTTCCTCTTTTCCCTTACCTCCTCTCCCCCTCACGGAGATAAAAAGTCGTGAAAGCAAAAGAGGTGTCCGCTCTGCAGTTCTTACCCTGGGTCCCCAATCTCCACCCTCACCCCTAACCCCACCCGGACACAAAGCGGTCTGGGCTCCCGGGGCTTCCGCCCGTCCAACCGCGAGCCTGGGAGGTGAGGAGTGGTTAAAACTCAGCCCTCACCTCCAGTGGGTCCCAGGCTCCGCGACGCCCAGGCCCCGCCCCTGCCCGCCCTTCCCCCACAGCCTCTCTTCCCCCTCTTCCTCGGGCGCACCCACCCCAGATGCCTGGCACCGAGCGCAGCCGCCGCCGCCGCCGCAGCACTTTCCGCTCGTATTGATCACCTCCCAGCCCGGCTCAGCCTGCTCGCCTGAGCCGAGCGGAGCCAGCGCGTCCCAGGCTCCGCGACGCCCAGGCCCCGCCCCTGCCCGCCCTTCCCCCACAGCCTCTCTTCCCCCTCTTCCTCGGGCGCACCCACCCCAGATGCCTGGCACCGAGCGCAGCCGCCGCCGCCGCCGCAGCACTTTCCGCTCGTATTGATCACCTCCCAGCCCGGCTCAGCCTGCTCGCCTGAGCCGAGCGGAGCCAGCGCGCAGCCCTCGGCAGCCCCGCAGCAGCCGGGCCACGGGAGGAAACTCCTCGGGAGCGCCCTGTCCGGGCTGTCCTCTGCGCTCTGCAGTGTCTTTCTCTCAGCCTGAGAGGAGGAGGAGGAGAAGGAAGAGGAGGAGGACGTCTCGTCCCGACTGGGAGGGGGAGCAGGCGGCGGGGCCCAAAAAGGGGCCGCCGCCGCCGCCGGAAAGGGAGAGGCAGAAGAGATCGAGACTTGGAAACCCCAAAGTGCCCGCGACCCTGCACGGCAGGCTCCTTTCCAGCTTCATGGGCAAAGTGTGGAAACAGCAGATGTACCCTCAGTACGCCACCTACTACTACCCCCAGTATCTGCAAGCCAAGGTAAAGGGGTGCTGGGAGCGGGGCGCCGGAGGAGGGGGCCCCGGAGGACTGCGCCCCGGGGTGGCGCGCGGGGTCGGGCCCGCGGAGGGGCGCGCGCGGCGAGCCCCCGCCGCCCCCGGGCGGAGTTGATGGAAGGTTGCGCCCCTCGCCGAGCGCTGGCTGGCCGGCGGCCGACGACTGGGGCCCGTGGCAGGATCCGCTGGTGGCGCGGCTTTCCGACCCTTCTCCAGGGCCTCGCCCTGCCAGCAGTAACTCTTCGCCTCCCTGAGAGTGGTGCCGAGCCTCCCGCCCCCTAGGGACGCCCCTCAACCTCCCGCGCGCGCGTCGACTGGCACTTGAGGGGAGGCCGGGACAGACATTTACCTCCCCGCCTCGGGCCCGGCGCGCCGGCCCTTCGCCTCTGATCTTTGTGCGGTGTGGCACTTCACCTGGTTACTGATTTCTACTTTTACGCTGGTGTTTTGGGTAGAAAAGTGGCCAAAGTTCACTGAGCGTTCATTGATGTCCCTTTTAATCTTCTCTGTCGCTTTTGCAGAGGGGACAATGGGCAGATTTCAGTGTCGAGAAAGAAATGACTTAGTATTTAGTTACACACACACACTACCTTGTATGTTTACCACAGATCGATTTCCAATGCTGCTTTCTCCAGAGTAGCCTGGGCACACTCTTAGGTAACAGCAGCCGATGACATGTAGCCATACAGACTGCGCCTGGCTTTCTAGGGACCCTGGGCACTTTGTTAGTGGGCCTATCTTATTTTCACACTAAGAATTTGATGCCTCCTGCGCTCATTTAAAACATTTGGGGGAATCCATGGAGCAAGTGGAGATTTCACTGTTTTGGAAGCTTCTGCCACAATCTGAGAGGGCGAAGTTGGATGCACTAGTCGCCTTCAGTGGTTAACACCTACCAGGACTGCTTGACTCCTCTGAGTGTCCTTCTAGATCACAAAAGAACCAGGTGTGGATGCAGTGTCTGAACTTTCTTCAGGAGGTTGTAGGCATGCCGCGCTTGCTGGCAGGCAGCTTTGCTGGCCTGGTACAAAGAACCTCTGATTCAACCTTGATAAGCTTTTCTTTCTTACAATGTGTGAGGTCCATGTTGTCACGTTCCTACAACATAGCCTTGTGTTTGTTCGTGTAAAGAGGACACTTGCCAGCCTTGAGACCAGAGATTTCCTAGCGTTGGAAATCTAGCATTTTCCTAGCATTTTCACTCCTCCCAGCCTCTTGATAAGCTTTTCTTTCTTACAATGTGTGAGGTCCATGTTGTCACGTTCCTACAACATAGCCTTGTGTTTGTTCGTGTAAAGAGGACACTTGCCAGCCTTGAGACCAGAGATTTCCTAGCGTTGGAGGGCCTCATTTTCACTCCTCCCAGCCTCGTTTTATTTTGGGTCACCAGAAAGCAAAAAAGATGGTAGCAGCAAGGATAGCCATTATTCATTTCTGTGCAGTTCTCATATACTTGTTTTCTGGAAATTAAAGATGTTAGGTTGTGTGTGTGTGTATGTGTGTGTGTGAGAGAGAGAGTGCGCTACATTTTAGCTGTTCTAAGAAATTTAGTAGCATAATCAATGCACTACCTTTTAGATGTCTTATATATTTAATGCACTTGTTTAAATTATGTAGCATTGGGTGCCTAAAGGACAGCTTATTTAGTTCTTAACTATATGAATAATAAATACATACATTCAGGTAAAGAAGAGAAAACAGCCCTGTTTTTACAGGCATGTTTACCTTAGTAATTTTTATGTACCATTAGTAAGTTAGAAACCAAGTACATAACATTTAATACAGCTAATGCAATGCCATTTGGCTTATTTTGCCCTGTAAATAATTGAAGAGAGAGACTAACGGCAAGAGCGTGCTCTGGTAATTAGGGTCGGATCCCAGAAAGCTTTAGGGCCCATTTTCTAAAAGTGTGCTTCCTGCATAAAGCATTTAATATTGATTTGTGTTATGGTAAATGACATTCTCAAAACATATTTTGCTTTTTCTACTATAAAATCTGAAATCCTATTACTCTCTTTGTTTCATGAGAACGGTACATATAGTCAACTGACCCATATATATAATGTGGTATTAAAGTTGGTAATTAAATCGAAATTCCCTGCTGTAAAATTATCTTGATTATCGCAGAAAGGGCTATCTCCTAAAAATGAAGAAGTGACTAGACAGACATGCATTTTAGATAAGCACAGTCTGGAACGCATAGACCCGCTTCTTCTCTCTTACATGTCTGTTAGTAACATGGATGTTGTGTGAGTCATTAAGAAAATATTGTACTTTGTTTAATTTGTGGTTAGTTTTAAAGTGAATGTTGTCTTATCTACCTAAAGAGTTAATAAACTCAGAATTTGTTGTCTACCTCATAGTTCTTGCCAGTGTGTGATTTGACCTTCCTGAAATACAGGATATAAAACATCACCCTGTTTGAAGCACAGGGATGGGTTTGCTAGTCTGTTGTTTGGAAACTTGTTTAGAAGCTGTGTCAAAAATTGAGGAATGGCATGGTTATTTAAAAAGTGATATGTGCCTTGTGATCAAGAGATAGTTGTGACTTCCCTGAGTTAAGGAGAAATAAACAGATGTGATTTCTTTTCATTGAAAGAAATAGACTCCTTCGATAGAAGAAATAGATGCACTTTAAAATCAGTTTTGTTACCATTCTGAAGTTTCATATGTCAAACTATTCTTCTTTTGTTAATAATCCAATCAGAGTCTGTTCTGGCAGATTTATTTTGTAATTTTGTTTTCTTATAAAACAGGTTAGTTCTACATTTTATGGACAGCAACCAAAGATCTGGGGATCTATTTCAGAGCAAACGACCATGTTGGTATGCTTTATGCTTTGACAAAAGGAGAAAATAATGATATATCTGCATTAAATATAAAGTAAACTAGATCATGTAAGGGTAGGACATGAATAGAAGTAAAGGAGATTGCATAATTTCATAATACTTTAGTGAAGAGTAAAACAGATTTCAAGTAACCTGATTTTATACACAGCTAGTTCTCTTTATCGCCTGACATTCATTCTGAAATGTAGTTTGATGTGGCTTCACAAACACAAGCAGATATTGTTCTAAAGACTTTTCTGAATTTTTAAATTATTTCTGTTATATTAAAAATATTAAATTTAGTAACCACTTGACAGCTGCACAGAAAAACTTGGTAATTAACATCTTTTAATGTAAAGATTTGAATGTATGCATTTACAACCAATGGCGATGTTAATTTCACTTACTGTAAAGGCAACTCTTGAATCAGGTCTATTTATTTCAAAGGTTCTACAAGATATATTATGAGCCATCTATGTATACACAAAAATGTATAGGGAATAAAATACTTTGTTTTTTGTTGTTGTTTTTAAGAAAGAGAAGCACAAAGTTGTATCTAATTAAAGGCAACTTGACACATTCATAACCTTTATTCACATAGTTCTAAAAAATACTTTCATGAACTACTCAGAAAACTTGATGTTTAAGTTTTTGTGAATATAGTAGTATCATTTTTTAATACCAAATAAAGTTTGTTTCTAAAGCAAAACATAATTGTGTTTAAAGCCATTTTTATAGGTGTGTGGCAAAGAACATATCTAAATAAATCTAGGTTCAAAATCTAAAAAAGTAATGAGTGATATAATTGAGATTCCATTAATAAAGGCTTCTAGCATAGCAGTTTTTCTGAATTGAACTTTTTGCCTGCATTGAACGTTTTACATTGCATTCCTTAACTCACTTAGTTGTAGCCAAATGAGTATTTTCTCAGGCAATTTGTTTCTCCAGAAAACTAGGAGTTATGATTTGATACCTAAAACCACTGAGAATAATAAAGTGAATGACATGTATAAAGGTATAATATTAAAACATGAAGTGTTTTGTGTCTTAAGAGATAAAAAGTTTGTTTAATTGTCAATTTAGTAATGCAATATTTTATTCCAATAGATGAGTAAACCTTATATCCTTAGGCAAGAGGGATATTGTGACTGTCTGGAAGTGGTTTTGGAAGACTCAAGGTCATGTAAAAGTGCTAAAATGAAGATGCATTGTAATCCAATATTGTAGTACCCTTCCCTTTAGAAAGTTATTTCTTTTGAACTTCTCATAATACTATTACTTTATACATTATTTTTTCTATGTTAGGAGCTACACCTTAGGTTACTAGAAGGGAGCAGGAAAAGTGAAAAAAAAAGTAAGAAAGTATGCTGTCATTTAATAGCAGTAAAACTAGATATTCCTTACATCTTTGGCAGTCTTGGCTTTCAAGATAAATTCAAATGTGCGTAATTTCTATGTAATATACATAAAAGAAAAAAATTTTCTAAAACTTTACTGATAGATATACCTCTGACCTTGTATTTTGCTTAGTGGTTTATTGAAACTTTAAAATTACCCCAGCTTAATTTGAAATTTTAGGTTACAGGTAAAGTTAGGTAAAGACAAAGGAATCTTCTTTTCCTTTTTTTTTTTTTTTCCTAAAGAGGCAGTTGTCAGAAAAGAAAGAAAAGAAAGTTATTTATCTTTTTCTATATTTGCTTAACCACTAAAAGTCATATGAGAAAGATCTAAAATGCAAGGCTAAGTGCTCAGTAAAAATGACCTGGACACTTAAAAATTATTCATTCTCTGTCAGGTTGGTGTGGTGCTCAGGGCAGCTGAATCCCATATGAACAACTGTATGGTTCAAGTCCCAGACCTGGTGACTTGAAAAACACATCAGGCCGGTGTACTTCTGTGTCCCAAATCCTGAAAGGGTGGAGAAATAGAGGGGAAGGGATTGCGGTGTGACCGTCTACCACGGGGGATGCTTTCTCTCTCCAGCAAGTGTGTGTTCCCTCTAGAAAATAAAATAATAATAATTGTTCACTCTTTCTGAAAGTGAAGGATTTCTTATTAGGTTGTGGGGAAACTCATGATGGTTTTTTCTTTGTGTCATTACTTTCCTGACAACCCAATAGTTTGTTTTTCATTGGATGCTCAGATAACTAAGTTTATT